TGCCAGCATCCGGCTTCTGTGTCCTGTCCCTGTGACGTCGGGACGTACGGGCGCCGCCGCCGCCGCCGGCGGCGGGAAATTTAAAAATTTTAAAAAATTTCATTTTTTTTTTTTTTTTTCATTTTACACAGTAAAACATTGCTGTTTCAACCTATTTCACATACATTTTGTCCCGAGTGCTTTGTCCTGTGCCCTGCCTGCATTTTGTCTGTTCTTTCTGCCTGGAAACTGAGAAATGTCCATGGCGTCCAAAAAGTGTCCCTTTAGGTCAAAAGCGGTTTAGATCAGCTAGAGAACAGCGATAGTAAATCAGAACCACTTACAGAATTGAGTGATAATGATTCGTGGGGGAAATTCGTCATCAGAAACTGAAAACGATTTTGCGACTGAGCTCAGCAATGTGCGAACTTGGCGCTCTATTTCACATTTCAGTGTTTTTGGTTTGATTATATTATTGAATTAAATTTTTTTATTATTTTTATATTATTTTTATGATTATTTATTAAATTATAATTTATGATTTTGTGTTTCAAATTTTATCATACCCGGGATGTTTACTAGACTCTTGTTCGGACAGATTTCAGTGAGTTTTTCCTAAAAATTACAGCCTACAATAAAAAAAATACATATTTCCATGCAAAAAAATGGTACCGCTTTCGGCACCAAAAATCTGAAATAATCATACCGCCAGGGAGGTTAATTCAATAATATAATCAAACCAAAAACACTGAAATTTGAAATATAGCGCCAAGTTCGCACATCGCTGAGCAAAGTCGCAAAATCGTTTTCAGTGTCTGATGACGAATTTCCCCCACGAATCATTATCACTCAATTCTGCAAGTGGTTCTGATTTACTATCGCTGTTCTCTAGCCGGTCTAAAACCGCTTTTGACCTAAAGGGACGCTTTTTGGACGCCATGGACGTTTCTCAGTTTCCAGGCAGAAAGAACAGTAAAAATGCAGGCAGGGCGCCGGACAAAGCACTCGGGACAAAATGTATGTGAAATGGTTTGATACAGGAATGTTATACTATGTGATTTTAGTGATTGTCACTTTTTGTCATTTTCAAATTTTCCACCGTTCCGTCCCCCGTACATCGCGACACTCGCAGGGGACGGAACCCAGATGACAGATGCCGGCATCCGCCGGAGGACATTGCAGGGCACACTGCAGGAGGGACATCGCGGGAGCGCAGGACAAGGTAAGTGATTGAGGGATCGTGGAGCAGAGCCGCATGGTAAGTCTGAGTGTAGCTCGGGATTACTGCTTGTGGTACTGAAACTTTACCCCGAGCTACACTCAGGAATACCGCCAGGGAGGCTACAAAGCAGTGGTCTGATGTGTTGGCTTTCCATGTCCAACCATATGTATACAGCAGACACAAGTGGCCACAAGGCCTGCCCCTGCATCTTCCAATCTGAGTGCTGTTGTACAGGGGGTTACAGGAGGCTGAAATTAAAGTCAAATTTAAATTCAGTAGCTGCGCTAGTTGTAATAAAAGGTATATTTAAATATTTTGAATATGTAGCTGCATTAAAAGATCAAGGGCATCCGATACTAATAGAAAAATGTGTTGAAATAGATTTAAAGAGAAGTTTTTTGGTTTAATTACTTCTGAGGGAAACTGCTGTGTGGGAGTGGATTGGGAACATCTGCTTGTAATGCCATTGTAGCTTTTATAGGTTTCTTGGCCCAGCGACCTCTCCGCTGACTATTCATGTGAATGTGCATAGGGCTTTATTGTGGGTGGAATTTTAAACATTACATGTCTCTTTGGGTTAGTGTGGGAGATGGGTCTTAATTGGTGAGAAAACCAGGTTGTAAATCAATTGAGCATAGGTAGCTTAGAGACAGCAAGGCCCAGTCTGGTCCATCAGCTGACAAAGGAATAAAAGAGCAGTTCCAGCACTGTTCCAAAAACCCTGCTGACTAATGGAGAAAAAAAAATAAAATCTCTGGCTTGCATGTGATCTGTCATACCTGACATAGAAATAACATGATCAGGAACCCATGTGATTGGCTGGTTCCTGAATGTTTGGAAGGTTTATGGACAGCTGGTTTTGACAGCTAGAAGCCATGAAAGTATTTGCTGCTTGCTAACGAAGAAATGATATTGATTGATGTACCCACAGCATAGGCATCATGTCATGGTATGTTAATCTACAGACTGAGGATGGGAGGCTGTTAGTCACTATTGTTATCTGAAATTAAAGCTTAAAAACCTACCATACTCCTTAGTAAATTAATAAAAGCGTCTTTGGGCCTTGGCAATGCCCAGCAGTCAATCTTTAGATTTACAGTATTTTTCGCTCCATAAGACGCACCTGACCATAAGACGCACCTAGGTTTTAGAGGCGAAAAACAAGAAAAAAAAATATTCTGAACCAATGGACTGCGGACACAGTACAGGAGATGACCAGAGACTGCGGACACAGTAAGGAGATGACCAGAGACTGCGGACACAGTACAGGAGATGACCAGAGACTGCGGACACAGTACAGGAGATGACCAGAGACTGCGGACACAGTACAGGAGATGACCAGAGACTGCGGACACAGTACAGGAGATGACCAGAGACTGCGGACACAGTACAGGAGATGACCAGAGACTGCGGACACAGTACAGGAGATGACCAGAGACTGCGGACACAGTACAGGAGATGACCAGAGACTGCGGACACAGTACAGGAGATGACCAGAGACTGCGGACACAGTACAAGAGATGACCAGAGACTGCGGACACAGTACAGGAGATGACCAGAGACTGCGGACACAGTAGAGATGACCAGAGACTGCGGACACAGTACAGGAGATGACCAGAGACTGCGGACAGTACAGTACAGGAGATGACCAGAGACTGCGGACACAGTACAGGAGATGACCAGAGACTGCGGACACAGTACAGGAGATGACCAGAGACTGCGGACACAGTACAGGAGATGACCAGAGACTGCGGACACAGTACAGGAGATGACCAGAGACTGCGGACACAGTACAGGAGATGACCAGAGACTGCGGACACAGTACAGGAGATGACCAGAGACTGCGGACACAGTACAGGAGATGACCAGAGACTGCGGACACAGTACAGGACTGACCAGAGACTGCGGGACACAGTACAGGAGATGACCAGAGACTGCGGACACAGTACAGGAGATGACCAGAGACTGCGGACACAGTACAGGAGATGACCAGAGACTGCGGACACAGTACAGGAGATGACCAGAGACTGCGGACACAGTACAGGAGATGACCAGAGACTGCGGACAGCACAGGAGATACCAGAGACTGCGGACAGCACAGGAGATGACCAGAGACTGCGGACAGCACAGGAGATGACCAGAGACTGCGGACAGCACAGGAGATGACCAGAGACTGCGGACAGCACACAGAGATGACCAGAGACTGCGGACAGCACAGGAGATGACCAGAGACTGCGGACAGCACAGGAGATGACCAGAGACTGCGGACAGCACAGCACAGGAGATGACCAGGAGACTGCGGACACAGCGCAGGAGATGACCAGAGACTGCGGACACAGCGCAGGAGATGACCAGAGACTGCGGACACAGCGCAGGAGATGACCAGAGACTGCGAACACAGCGCAGGAGATGACCAGAGACTGCGGACACAGCGCAGGAGATGACCAGAGACTGCGAACACAGCGCAGGAGATGACCAGAGACTGCGGACACACAGCGCAGGAGATGACCAGAGACTGCGGACACAGCGCAGGAGATGACCAGAGACTGCGGACCAGCGCAGGAGATGACCAGAGACTGCGGGGACAGCGCAGGAGATGACCAGAGACTGCGGGGACAGCGCAGGAGATGACCAGAGACTGCGGGGCGCAGGAGATGACCAGAGACTGCGGGGACAGCGCAGGAGATGACCAGAGACTGCGGGGACAGCGCAGGACAGGACTGAGACTGCGGGGACAGTGCAGGAGATGACCAGAGACTGCGGGGACAGCAGGAGACGACCAGAGACTGCGGGGACAGCGCAGGAGACGACCAGAGACTGCGGGGACAGTGCAGGAGACGACCAGAGACTGCGGGGACAGCACAGGAGACGACCAGAGACTGGGGGACAGCACAGGAGACGACCAGAGACTGCGGGGACAGACAGGAGACTGAGACTGCGGGGACAGTACAGGAGACGACCAGAGACTGCGGGGACAGCACAGGAGACGACCAGAGACTGCGGGGACAGTACAGGAGACGACCAGAGACTGCGGGGACAGCTGATCACATGACCGAGCCGACATCTTCGGCTCTTTCCGTGGATCGGTGATCCGCTGTGTCCGATCTCCAGGAGCCACGCATGCGTGAGGTGAGAATGGGAGGACGTCATATGATGTCCTCCCAGAACGAGAGAGCCACCTTGCGTCTGTCATATTACTATATGGAGACGGTGTTAAAGATGTAGGAGATAAACAAAAAAAATACAAAATGTTCACTACAGGTTTAAAGCTGTAAAACTTGATATTTTGATTGCACCCTATTGCTATTAAGCTATTGCTGTTATGTTTAAATTGAAATAATAAAGCTACGTTATATTTGCAGTTTTTTATATTTTGGACTCTTTTTATTCTAAAGAAAAATGTAATTTCATAAACTTTAAGGGGGGGGGGTTGGGGGATGGGCCAGGGGTGGGGTTGGAGGCGGACCTGGGCAAGGTTGGGTGGGGCAACTGGTGGAGAGTAAGGTTTGTACCTGGCTAGTAGGTCTAGACTTGAAATTTTAAGCCCTGAATTTCAAAGTATATAAAAACAAAATACTATCTATATTCTGTTAGTGGATTCTGGTTGGCTATAGGTTACCGCACATTGCATTTAGGCACTTTTTACTTCTTGCATATTTATGGAATATCTACATGGGTTTTAGGAACCAAATTGTCTCATTTTTTAAGTATCATCGTAAACTTCCCCTCAGCCAGGAAAAATTACTATATACAACTGAATAGAATGTATATATGATTTTTCTTTTTGATGGTAATTTTTTTTTTCTACTGTCCACAGGCAACATGGGCTTGCACTCCACTAAAAGGTGATATTGTAAATCTAGAAAGTAACAACATAGATGACATTTTAGGTAAGTGATTCTCTGCATACATTGTTTTCTTCACAAATTCAAAAGTGTAGTGGTTGGGGTGATTGGAGGCAGGTTAGAATAATGTATATATGGCTTCTGTTGACATATACTGTATAGCTGATATTTCTGTTGTATGCATGGCTGCTTTAGAAGGCAAAATCTTAGATTTTAGAAACATTTATGCAGGCATGTGTATATATTTTTAATCATATATTTGTTAAAATTTAGAATTTTTCTACGAACAGATACAGTTAGATCCATATATATTTGAACACAGGCACAATTTTAGTTTTTTTCAGTTATTTACCAAAACATATTTAAACTATAGTTATATAATTGATATGGGCTGAAAGTTCACACTCTGAGGGTATGTACATCCAAATTGGAGGAAGGGTTTAGGAATTACAGCTCTTAAGAATAGCCATCCCCCCATTTTCAAGTGACCAAAAGTAATTGCACAATTTAATCAAAAGCTGTTTTATGGCCAGGTGTGGGCTACTCCTTTGTTATTTCTTTATCAGTTAAACAGGTAAAAGGTCTGGAGTTGATTCTAAGTGTGATATTTGCATTTGGAATCTATTGCTGTGGACCTACATCATGTGCTCAAAGGAGCTGTCCGTGCAAGTGAAACAAACCATTGTAAGGCTTCAAAAATGAAACCAATCCATCAGAGAGATGGCAGCAACATTAGAAGTGGACAAATCAACAGTTTGGTACATTCGGAGGGAAGAAGAACGCACTGGTGAGCTCAGCAACATAAAAAGGCATGGAAGACTACAGTGGTGGATGATCGCAGGATTCGCTCTATGGTAAAGAAAAACCCATTCACAACATCCAGACAAGTGAAGGACACTCTCCAGGAGTTGGGCGTATCATTGCCAAAGTCTACAATCAAGAGAAGACTTCACGGGAAAACATACAGAAATGTGTGGAGAAGGCTTGGAACAGCGCATGATCCAAAGCACACAATGTCATCTGTAAAACATGGTGGAGGCAGTGTGATGACATGGGCATGCATGGCTTCCAGTGGCACTGGGTCATTGGTGTTTATTGTTGATGTGACAGAAGCAGACAGATGAATTCTGCAGTGTTTAGAGATATACTGTCAGCACAGATTCAGCCAAATGCAGCAAAGTTGATTGGACGGCGCTTCACAGTACAGATGGACAATGATCCAAAAAACTCACTGCAAAAGCAACCCAGGAGCTTTTGAAGGAAAAGAAGTGGAATATTCTGCAATGGCCGAGTCAGTCACCTGATCTCAACCCAATTGAGCATGCATTTCACTTGCTGAAGGCAAAACTAAAGGCAGAAAGACCCACAAACAAAGAACAACTGAAGACGGCAGCAGTTAGAGCCTGGCAAAACATCAGAAAGGAGGAAACCCAGTCATTGGTAATGTCCATGGGTTCCAGACTTCAGGCAGTCATAGCCAGTAAAGTGTTCTCAACAAAATATTAAAAATGAACATTTTATTTAGATTATATTCATTTGTCCAATTACATTTGAGCCCCTGAAAATGTAGGGACTGTGTATAAAAATGGTTGCATTTCCTAAAATTTGTACTTGATATGTATGTTCAACTTGAAAAAGTCTGCACTTCAAATTGATTTGGATTGTTTCGTTTAATTTATTCTGGTGGTATACAGAGCCAAAGATATGAAAATTGTGCCTGTGTCCAAATATATATGGAACTAACTGTATGCCAGAAGTAGGCAACCTTAAAGAGGTGGAGATTTACCTGAACAACATGTGGAAGAAGTCAAAGATCACCGGGCACAATATCGTCTAGTGTCACCTCATATCTGATTTAAATCTCTAATTGCCATACTACCGTGTCACAATTGCGTGCATTGCACAACAATAATGGGTTTAAATCGGGTGGTGAGGAGGCAACATATCGCCTCCTCACCACCTGTCAAACACACTCTGATTGCTTTGCAGAGGAGCAGCAGGGTCTGCTACACTTGTGAATGAGTCCTTAGTGGCATCTGCTAGCGGCACTCATAGGCCTTGTTCACATGTAAAGTAAGGGGTGGTAAAACTGTGGTTGAGTCATGGTTTTACCACTCCTGAATCCCTACCCCCTTTAGCTGCTAAGGCAGCAACCAAAGGTGTACACATGCTGCATCCAGAATGACACCCCCTGTTGCTTATGATGGGTGCTACTGCCTGTCAATTGAGAGCCATTCAAGTAAATGGGGCCACTCTGCAAGTGCCCCACAACTGCATGCTTCTACGGGGTCCAAAGGGGTTAAAGCAGGTGGTGAGAGAGACAACAGCATACTGCTGCCTTTTTAACTCCTTGTTTGCTGTACTGCACAAGTTTGCAGGGCACTTGCAGAACGGCCTCATTCACTTGAATGGCTCACAGTTGATTCTCTGGGATGGTGAGTCAGCAAGCCCTGACTGTGATGTACCAGCCACCTGGGCGAGATCTACTGGTAGATCACAATCTACTGGTTGCTGACCCCCAATAATGCCAATACTGCAGTTTCATTGTGATATACGTATAACAGATTATAGTTTTCAGGTTAATTTACAGCGGGGTTCCAGCTTAAAAAAATAAAAATCAGCAGCTACAAAAACTGTAGCTGCTGACTTTTAAAATACAGTCCCTTACTTGTCCCTTGGTTCAGCGGTGTCCTCACCACGGCTGGTTTCACCGGCCGTCTTCTCTCCCCAGCGCAGGACATCTTTCGTGTGGGCACCCAGCTGTGAAAACTTGCAGCTTCACAGCGGGGTGCCCACTGTGCATGCGCGAGAAGCGCTGCACTTTGTCAATGGCCCCATAGTCTTCTGGGACCTGTCGCGTGTCCCAGAAGACTACGGGTAGGGAGGGGAAGACCACTTTATCTTAGGTGATCACAGCGAAAGTGGGAGTGGGTACCTATCCAATTCGGTACCCGCTGCTCAAAGGTGCCAATCCTTAATGTGGAGCAGAGGACAAAGACTTAAAGCGGAACTTCCCCTTTTAGGTGGAGCTCCGCATTGAAAAAAATAAAAAATTTACTTGACCAGAATACGATTTGAAAGTTAAGTTCTGAAAAAGTATCTTAAAACTGAGAGGATTTTCATGACTTCCTAAACCAAAAAAAAAAAAAACACACATACTTTTTTTCACAAATCTAATTTCTAAAAAATGTTTTTTTTTTTTTTTTTTTTTTTTGTTTTTTTTTTTCCTATGGTACAATAATAGTGTGTTGTGATGGAACTGTTTGCACCTCCACTTTGGGGTGATGAAACATACCCACCCACAAAAATGTTAATTTGCTAATATAATAAAAAGCATGTATTTTGAGTCCTGTTCCACTGAGCAGTTGTAGTGACATTAAAGCGTATGTCAAGGAAAAATGGGGAAAAAAAATTCTCATCCATTGAGGGAAACAGGAAAGCTTAAACCTTTGGGGTTCTGTTTCTGCCTACAGAAGGATTAGACACTGGTAAGCATAAAAACTGTGGGCCAGCCAAGGATAACCCCTCCGATTATTTCCATGCTTCAGTTTTGCTAGTTCTATATAATAATAATATTATTACAGTATTTATAAAGCGCCAACAGTTCGCTCAGCGCTGTACATTACAAAGGGGGACAGAACATGCGGCAGTACAATAACAATACAATGTGATACACGATGTGATACACGAGGGGATCGAGGGCCCTGCTCCTTCGAGCTTACAATCTAGGAGGGAGGGGATAGTGGTACTGTGGGGGATGGAGTGGTAGGAAGAGTGGAGGAGGTCAGCAATTAGCAGGGGGTGGGGTAGGCTTCCCTGAAGAGGTGGGTTTTCAGGGTGCGCCTAAAGGAGAGGAGAGTGATAGTCTGATGGATTGTGGGTAGGGAGTTCCAGAGGATGGGTAACACCCTGGAGAAGTCCTGGAGGCGGGCATGGGAGGAGGAGACCAGGGAACTAGAAAGAAGGAGGTCCTGTGAGGAGCGGAGAGTGCGTGTTTGGGTGGTACTTGGATATTAGGTCGGTGATGTAGTTTGGGGCAGTATGATGGACAGCTTTGTATGTCAGTGTTAAGATTTTGAATTTGATCTGTTGTGCAATTGGAAGCCAGTGGAGGGTTTTGGAGAGGTTCAATTTAAGGAAGTGGAGCGACATCCAGTCTGATATGTCGTTTAGTAGGTTTGTGATTCAGGCAGAGACTGAGGGGGTGAGGCGAGAGAGATAGATTTGTGTGTCGTCGGCATAGAGGTGGTAGTTGAAGCCGGTAGAGTGTATGAGTTGGCCAAGGGAGGAGGTGTATATGGAGAAGAGAAGGGGCCCCGAGGCCAGAGCCTTGGGGGACCCCAACAGAGGGGGAGTGAGGGGGAGGTGGTAACGTTATAGATAACACTGAAGGAGTGTAGTGATAGGTAGGACGAGAGCCAGCAGAGAGCGGAATCTCTGAGGCCGAGGGAGGTAGTTTTTTGAGGGTAGTGGGGTGGTCGACTGTGTCGAAGGCTGCGGAGAGGTCAAGGAGTAGGAGCACTGAATAGTGGCCATTAGCTTTGGCGGTTAGTAGGTCGTTGGAAAGTTTGAGTAAGGCAGTTTCGGTGGAGTGCAGGGGACGGAAACCGGACTGTAGGGGATCGAGGAGGTTGTTGTCGTTGAGGTGGGAGCTTAGGCGATTGTAGGATAGATGGGATAGTAAAGACTGACCTATTTTGCTAGCACTTTTTTTTTTTCTTCACTCAAGACACTTTTCTACACCTCTACTGGAGGCCCCCCCCCCAATTCGCAGTGATCCAGTGCGGCCCTCATGGGTGTAGCCCTGGACTGTACTGCGTCTGGACCCTGCTGGCTGAAAATTGCAGGGCTATCCTTGAAGTGACCTTCAGGAACAGGATATTGCACGGAGCACTTTTCATACTTGGTTCTGGTTATGGTAGCTGTTAAGTGCTTTCTAGAGCCTTGGTATTGCCCTTCCACTTGCCCCTGTTTCTGAAGACTCACTTTGTAAGAAGTCCAAGCATCAGAAGCATTTTCAACAATACAGACAAGAGAAAGAGAGG